AAACACACCTCTTCCTTCTTCTCCTGCGTCTGATATGTCCTCTATTTCCATTATTGATTCACAACATTTTGGTCCTAAAACCTCATTCATTATTTAGTTAATTTTCTTCCCTCTCTTTCCTACCCCAAATCAATTATTTTCTTTTTCCTTTCCCCACCCTACACTCAAGAGCAGAAGTCATATTCTGTGAGATCCAGGGAAAAATGAAAATGTGGAGCTTTGTCTTATCCATTCTGGCTGTTACTTCAGCATGCCATAGACTGGGTGTGAGGGTGGCCTGAGTCCTGAGCCTCAGCAACTTTGTTTTAAAAACTCCAGTTTGAAACCTGCAGTCTCCCCAGGCACACTCACGGAGCCCTCCAGTATGGCCCCTCACCCAGATAAACAGAGTGAAGCCTCTGGTGGGCTGTCCTCAACTGCTAAGAGGGAAAGACAAGAAGACCAGGGTGGAGACCACCAGACTAGAAGTTTCTGACACCAGGGCAAATGATGTCACTGAGAAACCTGGTGGTAGCTGATAAGGATTGAAAACGAGGGTCAAAAGTCCCAAAATTTAGTATAAACAATAGAGCAAATGAACAGAGATTTCAGCCAGCGGATCTGGAGGTCCTGATGAGGACCTGACATCCCATCACTTGTCATTGTTTCCTAATCTTCTGTGTGACCCTCACCGCTCTTAAATTCTACCACCTGGTCTGGACCTTGGTGAGAGCCACAACTCTACCCTAGGGCCCTCTCCTCAATCGGTCGTCCACTCCACACCAGGAAAAGCCTGCCTTGGTTCTGGACTTGGTCACTGTGGTCTAAGTGAGTGTGCATCTGCTGGACATAAAGCCTAAGACTTAAGTCTTTTGAACTTAGCATGTAGAAGGAATGTATGTTATTTGCCTGTCATGATTAAGTGTGTATGCAGCGCTTAGAATTAATCCAGAATCATTTGCTGTGAATTAATTAATGTAGGATTGTTTGCTGTAAATTGATTATGTTTATTGCAGTGACTAGTATTAAGAATTGTCATTTTCTAGATTAAGAACCAATAGAGTGAAATTGTACTGAGTAATTTGAGTGAATAAAGCATTGAAAGGAGCAGAAGAGTGTGGACATACTTTATTTCTCCCCTCAACTGCATACACCACAATTTTGCCCCCTCATGACACTGGGCAATTTATACCCACTAGAAAATTATTTTTCACATCATTTTAAAAATTATTTTTCAAATTATTTTTGGACAGTTCAAGATCAAGGTAGATTTGGTTTGTAGTTGAACCTGTATTTTGATTCATCAAAGGCACTTTCAGAATGTCTACACATGGTGGAAGGGTTATTCAATCTCTCCGGGGTCCCTTGTATAAATAAGGCACTGATCTCATTTCTGAGGGTTGAAACAACGTGACCTAATTACTCATCAAAGGTCCCATCACCTAATATCATCACATGGGTGGTTAGAATTCCAGTATATGAATTTACAGAAGACATACAAATTCAGATCATAGCAGGTTTGTGTTCAAAATACTCTTTCAGGGAGTGCTCTTAATGGTACTACTGTACAAAACTGTTTCATTTCTATTGAAGATTATGTCTCTGAGCTTTTATTTAGTTTCCGAATGTTGCAACCCTTGGGCACAGGGATATTTACAGGATAATTGCAGTATCTCTTAGGCACCTGGGATTCCACTCCATGACTTCATGCAAGCCACGTACTGGTTGCCTGGTTCCTCCTTCCCTAGTTGTTCTAATGATCTTTGCCTTTGCTGAACTGAAGGGGAAGTTAGTCTCCCTTTCCTCAGTGGTTACTCCAATACTTGGCACATGGGTAACCACTGAGAAACTGGAACGAAATTATGTGAAGATAGGAACAAAAGTGGGCAAGAGGCTCACCCTGACCAGTTACAAAACTACTTGGTGCAAACTCTGGAGGGGATAGCTGCACCTCTATTTGGCCCACACACTGTTGGGTGTATGTCCCATTCTCTGTTTGTGCCTGCAAGGCATGAGATAGTGACAGGGCTAATGACAGAAGGGACCTTCAGTGAGACATGGTCAGTGCTGTGGTGGTGGGATGGAGGGGGAGAGGCAGAGTATAGAGTGGCCAAGGCCCCAGACAGTGGGGAGCAGGTGGAGGAGTGTTGAGGATGCAGGTGAGGTTGTGGGGGGAAGAACCCTTCATAAGCTTGGGAGGCAACTATGAGTCCCATGCAAGGTTCCTTGAACTTCACTATGAAACACTAATTCAATAAAATTACTATGAAATTCAAGGTGCTAATCATGGATCTTTGGGTGTATTACTCAAGTGGCTGCATGCCCCAGAGAGCCAGTCCTGGATACAGGATCCACAGACTCAGTAGATGACACTGTTTCAGAGGACAATCAGAGCAGCTTCTGAAAAAGGAAATAAAGTAACCAGTGATGTCAGAGATATGAATGAGGTGGAGTGGGGGTGGGGCAGGGAAGAGGTCACATGGGGGATACTCCAAAGTTATTACAATAAGAGAAAATGCTTAAGATCCTGGGTTTCATACCCAGCAATAGAAGAAGTGCTCCTTGTGGTAAGGGACTTTTCAGAGTCACATGTGACTTGTTCCTTAGCAGTTGAACTAGGGGAAGATGACCAGGATGGAAATTGTGACAGTGAGAGAAGTCAGAACACTGGGCAGAGAGTCAGAATAGCAGGGGAAATGGGAAACAGAGTAGGTGCTCAGGGTTTGGGGAGGGAGCAGATTGTCTTTGTTTCAGGCAGAAAGTTTTGTGTTTTGGTTGAATAAGGAAGTCAGAAGAGAGGTCCCTGTGGTAGGTTTATTTAGAACAGAAATCAAAGGACGACTTCTCTGAGAGAAAGAAGCAGCATCTGCAAGGGCCATGCTGTCTCTGCTACTCCCCTTGCTCGCTGCTCTCTTCCAAGGAGGGGACAGTGGTAAGAACCAGGGCAACTGACCAGTTTGTGCGTGTGTGTGTGTGCGTGTGCGCGCGCACGTGTTTGTGTCTGTGGTGATGGTAGTTTCCCCTGCACACACCTGGAGAGAACGAGGGCCAAGGTGGCCCCATTCTGCGTGTCCTTACTCAAGCCCTCTGTGCTGTCATGGAGGCTGTTGGTAGAGCATGGGACCCTGGGGGCCAGCAGATGTCAGCTAAGGTAACGGTGGCTCTCCACTTTCCAGATTCTGAGTCTTCCCATGGGGGCACCTACTTTCTCAAGTCTCTGTCTCCCAATGTCACATTTCTCCCCATTCTATCTATTCTTTTGCCACAGGGTTTGAGGAGTCTATCTCCTACCATCTCATGCAGACATCATCCTTTCACAACCATTCCTGGGTACATGTGGGCTCAGGCTGGTTGGGGGAGCTGCAGACTCACAGATGGAACAGCAGCTCTGGTACCATCATTTACCTGTATCCCTGGTCCAGGGGCAACTTCAGTAACAAGGAGTTGATGTATGTGGAAAGGTTGTTCCAGTTATACTTCAATGAACATCAGGACTATTATATTTCTCAATTAATGTTTAAAGGTGAGTTCCCTTTCACTTTTGGGGAGAATAAAGGGATGAGGGTGGGGCATCTCAGGGAGCTTTTATTCCTCAGGTAAACAGCCTTCTCTGCTCTGAAACTTATTCTACTCTCTTCAGCATAAAACTGCATTCACACTCTGGGCACGTACAATAAACAACCAGATAAAAACTTCTGTTTTTACCACTTAATAACTGTTCTCTTATTGGCTGCAGGGCTGTGTTTTACTAACTCACCTCAGAGGCAGCCTGTGGCCACCCTTTTCCCCAATCTTCAATCAGGTACTTTCAGCTTCCTCACTTGTTGGGTGACTCCTTAAAGGGTGATTTTCTCTCCCATTTAATCTCTTCAGTCATCCTGGTGTAAACTGTCAGAGTGACCATGGATACATTCTCCCAGGTTTGTTAGGGTCTCAGCTCTCTCACATTAAGGCTTTTCTCCCCTACACCATTGCTGTCACTTTCAAACAATTCCCTCCCCTCCTGATATCGCCATCTTTTCCTCCACCTCCAGCTCCTACCAGTGGCCTTTCTGTGAACCTCTGATCAAATCACACTTGGGTTCTTTCTCTTAAACTCCCTAAACTCCCTTCTACCTCCACTCATTCCATTTTCTCCATTTTCTCCCTTTTCTCCTCTAATTCATGACTCTTCTTCCCCAGATCCCTTTGATCTGCAGGTGACAGCAGGCTGTGAACTGCACTCTGGGAAGGGCTTCCTAGGCTTCAAGCAGGTAGCTATCCAAGGACATGACTTCATGAGCTTCCAGAATGAAACATTCTTGCCATCTCCAAAGGGTGGAGAAGAGGCCCAGGAAGCCTGCAAACTGCTCAATTTCAACGAAGCCTACACACAGAGGTTACATAGGCTCCTCAGTGACACCTGCCCCCGTTTCACCTTGGGTCTTCTTGATGCAGGGAAGGCTCATCTCCAGCGAC